TGGCTAACCAAAAGCAAACCATAAAAACTAACGTTCTGGGAACCAAAAACTAACATTCTGGGAACGTTAAGAAAACTTTCCTGGCTAACCAAAAGCAAACCATAAAAACTAACGTTCTGGGAACCAAAAACTAACATTCCGGGAACGTTCTGGGAACCAAAAATTGCTAGCTGGGAAGGACTTTATTTTTTGAAATAATTAAATAGATGCTGCCTTATTGGGACAACAAAGCCCTCCTTATAGCCTGCCTACCCCTAATTAATACATTATTATTAAACACTCGTTAAGAAATTGATTTCCACTTTTCCGATGTGATGAGAAAAGGAAGAAAAGCGAGTTTTGCAAAAGACGACTCAAACCCAGTCGATCGTATTTTACGCTATTCTCCCGCCCACCCCACTGCAGACGCTGAATAATGAGATTTTCTCGCAATTTAACGACTTTTCTCCTAATTTAATGAGTTTCTTCTCAACATTTTATTTCGACTTTTTTCTCAAAATTTAGCGAGTTTTTTCTTGAAACATAACGACTTTATTCTCGAAATTTAACGAGTTTAATCTCAACATTTTATCTCGACTTTTTTCTTGAAATGTAACGAGTTTTTTCTAGAAATGTAACGACTTTAATCTCGAGAGGGTTTTATTTTTTTATTATTGCTTGGCCCTAATCCTCTTCCGTACGCAAGCCATGGGGGAGTACACTACCCTTAAAAATTGAAAGGATATTAGGATATTACCACAAGATTACTCTTAGGACATCGCAAACTATTTTTTTTATCAATATGACTTAACCTGATGGAGGACGCGCTCAGTCATTCAGGCAGTCTCTCTCTCTCTCTCTCTCTCTCTCTCTCTTTCTCTCTCGCGCGCGCTGTTAGGCATATTTTGTGCCGTTGATTGAGTGGAGAGAAATCCCCCCACAACTAACTGCAAACTGGCATTCAGATCTGCCTCCATTTAGTTATTTTGTTAGCAACGCCCCAACTTCCAATGATCCAATCAATTCCCAGTAGAGTCAAAAAAAGACAATCGCTACTTCCGTTTCATGCCGACTTTAAAGGGGAAGATGCCAATAGCAGGGTAGAGAAAATGCTGAGGAAGGCAGGCTCTGTCCTGGGGACTAAACTGAACTCGCTGAAGCTGGTGACCAAGAGGAATATGCTGTTCAAACTCTTAAAGGATTTGATTTCAAATTTTTCCAAATATATCCAAAGAGATATTCTTTATAAAAGTTAAGTTATTAAGAGTCAACCACGCCTACCCCAAACAGGCTCGTTCTAACACGCCCCCACATGTCTACGTCACTATGTAGGAAGATTTGCATATCGCCGCCCAAATGTTCACGCAAAGAAAGAAGTAACTTTTATTCTCGCTGTAGTGTTGTTGTTGCCGCCGCTGCCATGTCGTGAAGACGCTGTGTGTTTCGTTGTGACTTGACTTTCTCTCCTCTCCACCTGTAGCTGGTGTGTGGTGAGCGCACTGGCGCCGTTGTCCTGTGGTTGCCGTCGCATCCAAGTGGAGACCCCCCCACCCCCCCACATCATTGTAAAGCGCTTTGGGTGTACAACAATACATTCTGGGAACCAAAAACTAACGTTAGGGGAACGTTATAGGAATGTTAGATTAACGTTAGAATAACGTTCTGGGAACCAAAAACTAACATTCTGGGAACGTTAAGAAAACTTTCCTGGCTAACCAAAAGCAAACCATAAAAACTAACGTTCTGGGAACCAAAAACTAACATTCTGGGAACGTTAAGAAAACTTTCCTGGCTAACCAAAAGCAAACCATAAAAACTAACGTTCTGGGAACCAAAAACTAACATTCCGGGAACGTTCTGGGAACCAAAAATTGCTAGCTGGGAAGGACTTTATTTTTTGAAATAATTAAATAGATGCTGCCTTATTGGGACAACAAAGCCCTCCTTATAGCCTGCCTACCCCTAATTAATACATTATTATTAAACACTCGTTAAGAAATTGATTTCCACTTTTCCGATGTGATGAGAAAAGGAAGAAAAGCGAGTTTTGCAAAAGACGACTCAAACCCAGTCGATCGTATTTTACGCTATTCTCCCGCCCACCCCACTGCAGACGCTGAATAATGAGATTTTCTCGCAATTTAACGACTTTTCTCCTAATTTAATGAGTTTCTTCTCAACATTTTATTTCGACTTTTTTCTCAAAATTTAGCGAGTTTTTTCTTGAAACATAACGACTTTATTCTCGAAATTTAACGAGTTTAATCTCAACATTTTATCTCGACTTTTTTCTTGAAATGTAACGAGTTTTTTCTAGAAATGTAACGACTTTAATCTCGAGAGGGTTTTATTTTTTTATTATTGCTTGGCCCTAATCCTCTTCCGTACGCAAGCCATGGGGGAGTACACTACCCTTAAAAATTGAAAGGATATTAGGATATTACCACAAGATTACTCTTAGGACATCGCAAACTATTTTTTTTATCAATATGACTTAACCTGATGGAGGACGCGCTCAGTCATTCAGGCAGTCTCTCTCTCTCTCTCTCTCTCTCTCTCTCTTTCTCTCTCGCGCGCGCTGTTAGGCATATTTTGTGCCGTTGATTGAGTGGAGAGAAATCCCCCCACAACTAACTGCAAACTGGCATTCAGATCTGCCTCCATTTAGTTATTTTGTTAGCAACGCCCCAACTTCCAATGATCCAATCAATTCCCAGTAGAGTCAAAAAAAGACAATCGCTACTTCCGTTTCATGCCGACTTTAAAGGGGAAGATGCCAATAGCAGGGTAGAGAAAATGCTGAGGAAGGCAGGCTCTGTCCTGGGGACTAAACTGAACTCGCTGAAGCTGGTGACCAAGAGGAATATGCTGTTCAAACTCTTAAAGGATTTGATTTCAAATTTTTCCAAATATATCCAAAGAGATATTCTTTATAAAAGTTAAGTTATTAAGAGTCAACCACGCCTACCCCAAACAGGCTCGTTCTAACACGCCCCCACATGTCTACGTCCCTATGTAGGAAGATTTGCATATCGCCGCCCAAATGTTCACGCAAAGAAAGAAGTAACTTTTATTCTCGCTGTAGTGTTGTTGTTGCCGCCGCTGCCATGTCGTGAAGACGCTGTGTGTTTCGTTGTGACTTGACTTTCTCTCCTCTCCACCTGTAGCTGGTGTGTGGTGAGCGCACTGGCGCCGTTGTCCTGTGGTTGCCGTCGCATCCAAGTGGAGACCCCCCCACCCCCCCACATCATTGTAAAGCGCTTTGGGTGTACAACAATACACAATAAAGCACTATATAAATGCATCATTCAACATCATATGGCCCTTTAAACATCATGGATAACCCCTCACATCCAATGCAGTACGATACATCATCTCATCCAATATATTAAGAGCCTCTTTACTTCAAGACTTTTCATGGACCGATGTCCCACTGACACACGAAAATATCCTTTCTATGTATTTATGTAGGCCATTTATTGTTTGTTTGTGTGATTACATACTATATGTTGTGTACAACACCTGTACTGAAAATTACACTGTGGGGATTAATCCCCCCCCAAAAGTAACTAAAAATATAAACTTTTTAACTGTTCAACTGTTTTAACTTCAACTGTTCAACTGTTTTTAAATCACAAAAACTAGATTTATACAACACCGACACCTGGTGGCCAGTCATCATAACAGTCATCACTCTACTTCTAATTTCCACTCTATAATCGATATTGAACTGTAGTATTAAGCTTAGCTGTATAATGCTAGTAACCTTTGATGTTAAATTAAGTATATTAGTTTGTACTGCATATTTAGTGGTATTCTCATTTAAATTATAGATAGGCCTACTGCTCAATCCAGCTGTATATACTATATAGTGACGCTCGCCCTTTTCCTGAGTTCTTACACTAAGAAAACACGAAACTATTCCATAATCTTTTGGACTTCGCAATACGTCCATAGTAAATGAATGGTAATCATTCAGCATGGACGGAAGCTCGGGAAGAAAAGAAAGAAAACACCTCTCAGAAGAACAAGAAACAAGGCTAAAGAAACACGGATAAGAGGGAATTTAAATTTGACGGTTGTATTGGTAGCTAATAGCTAGCTATCCATAGACCAATTTACCTGGATGCAGATTAATAGGCTTATATAAAATTATATAAAGCAGTTAATACTGTAATGTTGTTGCTCTATTTGTGGGATTTTGCTCTATTCGTATGCACGTTAATATGCAAGTAGGATAACAATTTCAACTGAAATTAATATGTCATGTCCATTTATTTATTAAGTATGTAGCCGTGAAATAAGCGGAATAAAGTACAGTTGGCCAGTCATTATAACAAAATAAACCCCTGCAGGATAATACAAGCCCCCTCGGTGTAATTTGTACAGGGTTAAAGTGAACTGTGGCGTCTTATTTGATAATTTTCTTAATTTTACTTCTTGTGATGAGGGGTAGTATTAAACAATAATCCTCGTTTAGTCGCTAGAGGGCGCCAGACCCACACTGTTGGATCTCTGATGAGCTCAGTGATATTTTCATGTTGTAAAGAACTGTTATCCTTCAGAGTTGTGTGTGTGTGTGTGTGTGTGTGTGTTTGTTGGGGGGCACTGGGGGTTTTCATTCTTTTTTTCTTATTCTTTTGATCTTTTTGTTAATTGTTTATGTGACCTGATTCAGCTACCATTCATTCTGATGCTGTTAGATTTAATTGGAGTGTGTTGAGTGTGTGTGCGCATAAACAAGACAGTGAGGATGAGAGATGAAAAGAGAGAAAACCAACATGAGATTTCAACAGCCATTAAGCAAATGAATCCTAAGAGAGAGGCACATTCAGCAGCTGTCTTATTCTTAAAAAAAGATATACACAAGAGAGGGAGGGAGGAAGGGAGGATGGATAGATAGAAAGAGAGAGAGAGCGAGAGAGGGGTGGGCACAATTGGGACAGTTCCCTCCTTCCCAGCAGGGGAGTGTTTGAAAGAAAGGAGTGAACGATAAGAGACGACTGAAGGAGAGAGAGAGATCAGAAAGAGTTAAAAGATGCAGAGAGATGCAGAGGGCAAGACAATAACAGAGTGAACAAAACGAAGACAAATTCAGACGGCAATATTATAAACACAGAAGACAGACCAAGAGAGGATTCTGCTGCAACACTGACCTGAGCAGGATTATATTTCACTGCACTGCACACATAAACACACACTTACGCAGAGGTGTGTGATGCTGACATCAGGTAGACACCATTTGTGTGTGTGATATTTCTGAGCAGAGTACGTAGAGAGAAAGAGAGAGTGTGTGTGTGTGCGTTTACCCCGAGCTAGAGTCGCATAGTGTGTGTGTGTGTGTGTGTCAGACAGCCATGAGGAGGATGCTGGCTCTCTTCTGCTTAATTTCACTGGCGGCACCTCTAACAGACGCATGGAGACCATCACAACCACGACTGCACTTCCAACACTCAGGTGAGGCAACTGACTTTCCATTGACTTTTCTGTTGATGTATAAGTGTTTTCAATCTCCTATCCCTCACACAAACCTTTCTGCATTTAACATTTTAATTCAGACATTATTTGGCATGTTTATTATGACATTTTCCTCCTTCAATGTAAATGATTTCAGGTTGTATTATTATTATTATTATTAATATTATTATAAAATAATGTCATTTTTAATAATTAAGAAGACTTGAGTCATTCTGACTCGAGTCAATTATGTTACTATAATTAATTTAATTAATGTTCTGTTGGCCTACATAGTTTATGGGACAGGTGAAACAACTGACTTTCCATTGACTTCTATTGCTTTTCTATTGAGCTCTTTCTATTAAACCTTTCTGCATTTATTCTTTCAACTCAGACATTCAACATTCAGTATGTTTATTAAACTATTTTCTTCCCACATTGTGGATGATTTCAGGTTTTACTATCCTTGTGGACTCAGAATCACACAAATAGTCTTTCTTTGCTCCATGCACAAACGCTTTCTCTCTTTTTAACCCAATTGTAATCAGCCGTGGTTCGAAAGGGGTATATCATATGTGTAGACTGAAACTGGTTGTGTGTTTCTCCATGACCTAGAAAACCCTGCACAGATACATTCGTTGGTCCGTCACACCATTCTGAATATCAGGGACGACTGAGAGTGAATGTGAGAGAAAATAGAGAGTGTGTGTGTGTGTGTGAAATGTTTGTGTTTAGAAAGTTTTAGGGGTACATATCTTAATTAATCCGTGTACATCTGTATGAATGTGTGTGTTGTGTTTACTTGGATCTCTTAATTACCCAATTAGCCTTTCATTCACGCAGACTCCCAAAGGGTAGAGCATAAGTGTGTGTTTGTGTAAGGGAACGACTGGTGGTTGATTATTATCCAGCTCATTTTGGCTTGATTTCCCTGATGAGATGATAAATGACAGCTCTTAAGTAGCACACACACACACATACTGAGAATTTTGTGCCACTGGATACAAGTGAAATTAGATATCCAATAATATGTCCAGCAGATCTATAAAATGCATTTTCCAGCTGGTCTGTTTTGATTGGTCACTTTGCAGTTGACTGGCCTTCAGTAGGTGTGATTATAACTAACACGAGCATCAATCGATTATGCACTCTAACCTCTGCCAAGTGTGTGTGTCTGTGTGCATTTGAGTGCTATAATTATGATGTATACTCATATTCAGCCCAGGTCATAGGTCTGTCTGATGGCAAGTTGAGAAATTCCAGAACACAGCAGTGTGTGTTCACCAGTTTATTTTAGCTGTCTGTGTGTTTATGCATGAGCCTTGTGTTTTTCCGTCACAGACTTATAGTCGCACCTGTTAACATTTCTACCACACACATATGAAGTTATGAACATGCCAGCTGGTGGATTGAGAAGTAATAGCTGATAACTCAATTTGCACAGGAAGTGTGGACTGTTTGTTCTTGTCTGCCAGTAGACTTGCACTATGGGAAAAGTTGTGCCCAAGAAAATACACCTTAACATACTCCCATCCACACTTGTGGTAGAAGAGGTGTGTGCTTGTGAACAGGTTTTTGAATGACATTTTACACATTACACATTACATTTGATGCCCATTTTAATTCAGTTTGTTTCAATTCCAATTAATTAATAAGATCTTGATTTTGATTCAATTCAATTTAATGTCCAATTTGGTTACTTCTCTTTTGAGAATCTATTTCAGCGAATGCTTTGTTATGTTAGTATTAACTATATACTATAGTATTTATTAATATTTTGAATTAGTTTTGATATTGATATTTTCATTTAATTTTTTTAGCAATTTTTTTGTAGTTTTTATTAGTTTTTATTATTTATATTTTTGTTTTCTTTAACATATTGATTTCAGTTTTAATTTGAGCAATTTTAATACTTAAACGTATTTTAGTTATAAAGGCAACATGTCAAATTTAATGTTTTTCATCTAATATTTACATTTTGTTTTTATTTAAGCTTTATTCCAAATAACGAGAACGATTTGTAACAGTTTTAGTTTTAGCTAACAACAAGTGTTTCTATCTAAGTGCACTATCACGCAGACACTGAAAAAGGCATAAAGTACAAGATCGAGCTTGGGGATCAATAAAATGAAGATTGCGAATAATCGGAAAAACATGATTTATACCATTTTTAACCTATACGTTGTTGCTAGTGCGCTCTTGCACTCGTGTGCATGTTTATGTATAAGTTAGCAAATGTTTCTTAGCTGTGTCACACGCCACATATTTACACTAATCGAGTAATTCCACATCAGTCTCTCTCATGACTGAGGTAATCTAATGGTCAGATACACACTCACAGCTTGTGTGTGGTTAAATATACCCTCAGCTGGTCATAGAATGATAGACAGAAGGGTTTGTGACTCACTTTGTGTTCATCTCTATAAGTTAGCAAATGTTTCTTAGCTGTGTCACACGCCACATATTTACACTAATCGAGTAATTCCACATCAGTCTCTCTCATGACTGAGGTAATCTAATGGTCAGATACACACTCACAGCTTGTGTGTGGTTAAATATACCCTCAGCTGGTCATAGAATGATAGACAGAAGGGTTTGTGACTCACTTTGTGTTCATATCTGTGTGTGTGTGTGTGTGTGTGTAAGACAGAAAAATGACAGTTGTAGTAATTGTGTAAGACCATCAGAATGTCTCACTGTTTGTCTAATTTAGTTTATGGCTAAAAAGGTCATGAGTCAAACTGATTACAGTCTGGGGCTACCAGGTTCTAGACCACCTTGTCATGAAATCTCCCTCACTTCCTGCTAAACACACTCGAGACAGGTGGAATACCAGCCCGTAAACCATCAGAGTGATTTTAGCACACACATACACATACACACCCTTGTTACCACAGCAACTGCCCCCAATAAAGGGGGCAATGGTGCCACTAAGAAAGAGCCAGGAATGCGTGTGTGAGGTTTCAGGCTGTGACAGATTGTGTGCATGTCCCTTGTGACAGCTGAAATTTTTTAGTGTGTGTGGGTGAGTGAGAGAATATTTTAAAGGAGCGATAAAGACGCAAACCTATAGAACAACCAATGTAATATTTGCATTTTTTGCGGCTGTTTTCTTGGTGTATTACAACATTATCTGCTGCACTTTCACTAATTAATTGATTTCCTATGATTCTCAAGGCATGTTTTCAATCTTTTTGTCTATTCTATTCATCTCATGCGTTATTTTATCTCTGTCTGTCTCATCGGCTGTTCATATTTTTGAACAGGTTATTCTGCCCAAAGGTGAGACTGTCTGGTCCACATATGAGTTTATATTAGTTCAATGTGTTTAGGAAAAGTACAGAATACAATGTTACTCTGGTGGACAGCTTTAAATGTATTTAAAGAAATGGTTTACCCACAAAAATAAACATTCTATCATCATTTACTCATCCTCATGTTGTTTCAAACCTGTGGCTTGGCTTTATGTCTTCCATGGAGCACAGAGGAGATGTTTTCAACTATACTGGTTGCCTCTGGAGCTTTAAGGTTTTAAAAAGGTTGTAAAAGTGAAAGAGTGCATCCGAATGATGCACTATATTCCAAGTCATATGATAGCTTTGTGTAAGAAAGAGAGGTAAAATTGAAGTCATCATTCACTGAATTTTTCTCCTCCAGTGGGCTTCTAAAAGTAATGGCACTGGATAATTGAGCCATTGAGTTTTCAGTTATTTCCACTGAATACTAATTTAAAATTCAGTCTGTTCCTCTAATAAAGCTATCATACAACTTCATAGCACATGAGTTGTAGACCATTTTATGATATGGTAATTTTAGATCTTGACAGCCTCATTCATTGTAATTATATTGTAAAAACTGACCAGGATATTCTTCAGAAATTCACCCTCTGTTGCATGGCAGAAAGAAACCCTCATTCTCTGTTTTTTTTCATTTCCCATAAAAAACAATAAAGCTGAATTGCATTTTCTTTATTGGCCTGTCAGAAGTAAAGGATTTGGGATGGAAAACAGCAATGCCGCATATTTGCAGAATTCAGCCGCGAGGGTCTACTCATAACAGAAATGTATGAAATAATCTGTTCACGTTCTCTCTGTCGCTCTGTCTTAGAGCTGGTGCGGAGCGGCAGGCTCATGTCTCTCTCTGTGCCTGCTGGGGATCTGAACTCTCTGTTGCCAGGTGAAGATGGTCGTCGTCTTTACATCGGTATGAAAGACCATCTGCTGTCTGCCAGCCTGGATGATATTACTCAAACCCCCCGCAAGGTATGTACTCCCCCAAACACACAGGCTCACATATATTCCTCATATTCTTAAATAAGGGAAATTCTGTCATTATGTTCTCTTTTTTATGTGTAGCACAAAAGGAGACGTTTAACAAAATGTTAATGCTGCTCTTTTCCATACAATGAAAGTGTGGGCTGTCAGGCTCAGAACATCAAAAAATCACAATAAAACCACCATAAACAGCTTGTATTTTACACAAAACTTTGATATGGCATTAGAAGACTTGGAATATATCATATATAAATCAAATGAACTGATGTTATACTACTTTTATGGTATTTTTGGAAAACTGACAGTCCCTGGTCACCATTCACTTTCATTATATAGAAAAAAGCAAGTTGAGAGTAGTAAATAACAAGAATTTTAGAGAGATAGTTAAGTTCACCGAAACATGCTGTAGTATCAAACAAGAAAGCTTTTACTAGCAGATTCAAACAAACTTTTGTTGCATAAAGGCCCCCCAGTGAGTGTATTTGTGAAATTTTATGTGGGTAAGTGTGTGTGTGTGTGTGAGCCCATCCCTGCTTGTCTGCATAACTTAGTGTGTATTCATAATGATTTGATCTGAGCAATGCCAGGGTGGCATTCAACTGTAATGCCTCACATGCTACATGAGGAAATCAGCATATGCATCAACATTTAATATGACTAAGAGGAACTTTTATGCACACTTGTGCACCAGATTAGATTCACATCTGTGTGTGTGTGTGTGTGTGTGTGTGTGTGTGTGCTGTATTTCAGATCTACTGGCCTGCAAGTCCAGATCGAATCCAGAACTGTATCATGGCTGGAAAAAGTCTGCAGGTAAAACATGATTTTATGAAACGCAGCTTCTTTAGATAGCTGTTCTTTAACTGTTTAATTACAAACAAAATCAATTCAATCCTCACTGTGATAGTTTCCTTTTTATGTCACAGATGGACTGTGCAAACTTCCTGCGTGTGTTAGAGCTGTATAACCAAACACATCTTTACGCCTGTGGGACTGGAGCGTTCAACCCTCGCTGTGCCTTCATCCCAACCAACCTCTTCCTCAGGGTAAATGACTACATTTCCCAGCATGCACCTCTTTCACATAAACTCTTCCTATTGTAGCATATAGTGTAGTATGCATGTCTCAGGTGATAGAATAGATAGATTAAACAATTTTGTGAGCAATTATATTGCTAATAAATAAATTGCTAATAAATTAAATATTATTTATTAAATTAATAAAAACAAATAAAAACAATTCATAATAAAAAGTGTTTTTCATACATATCTAAAATAAAAGTACAAAATATATATAAATAATTAAAATATTCTTAATTATTTAAATTAAACTTAAAGGTGTTACATATCCAAACAGAATTTTTTTCAATATTATTTATTAAAATAATTAAAGTATACTTCGATTTTTAATTAAAATTTAAAAAAAGTTTCTTACAGATCAAAACAATATTTTATTGAAATAATTAAAATGTAATTAAATATTTTTTATTAAAATAAAAAAGTTTTAGTAGGATTAATTTGGATAAGCAAAAATAAACAATTGGAACTATAAATAATGTTATGGGAATTTCAGGCCGAGGAACAAATCCTGCAGTATGAAGACACTGAATCAGGGAAGGGAAAATGTCCTTATGACCCTCACCAGAGAACAGCTACTGCCATCATAGGTAAGACAGCATGTTTATAGTTTGTGTGTAGTTTATCTGTTTGTGTGAGAACATGCCAGTGTAATTCTGATCTAAATCTTTGTGCATGTTTGTTCAGACGGAGAGCTGTACGCTGGCATCTCATCTGACTTTCTAAGTCATGATACCGCTTTTATTCGGAGTCTGGGGGAGCGACATGTGATTCGCACTGAACAATACGACTCTACATGGCTGCAAGGTGATATATGTGCATGTACAACCACACATACACCTGAGCTAGCACTAACACTTACACTCACACTTACAAAAATACACTCACCAGGTTGTTGACAGCAATTAAGGAAGCACTGTGCTCTATCAGTTAAACAAAAGAAAATGCTACCATATTGTTTACGCAATAACAGATATACATGTATGTGTTAGTTAACTATTTTTGTCTCTCTCACTCTCTCCAGGCGCTGAATTTGTACATGTTGCAGCGATGTCAGAGAGTGATAATGAGGAGGATGATAAGGTCTACGTGTTCTTTACTGAGCGCGCGCAAGAAGCAGAGGGGGCTGCTGGGAAGGTCCTCTATTCTAGAGTCGCCCGCGTCTGCAAGGTATCTAATAGTGTGTTCCTACGTGCCTAAGCGCACTTGTGTGGCTCCTGGGCCTGTATGACCACCTCTGTGAATCTGATAGGATGTGCTGTGTGATATGTCTCTGACTGTTCCTCTGGTGGATTTCTGTCATTTTCATATGAAATAGTAACAGAATTATATATTATATACTTACGGTTTTTTAGTAAAATGCAAAAGTGTTACATACAGATCCAAACAGAAATAAAAAATAAATGTGATATTAGTAAAATGTATTAGTATTATTATTACAATATAAAGTGTTACATACAAATCTAAACAGAAATAACACAATATAGTATTTTCTTGAAGTAATTAAAATACACTTAATTTTTAGTGAATTAAAAAATGTTCCAAACAGAAGATCCAAAGCAGAAATAAAATGAAATATTATTTTATTGAAATTTCTGTCAGGTGGATTTTGTGTCATTTTGATATCACAAAAAATGATTAATAAATTTTCAAAATGTACTGTAGTGGTACCATGGTAAAGGGATGGTATCAGATGGTAATACCTTGGTACCTTTGTGTATGTCAATGAATATAATGATTACCATATTTATTTAATAGGGTATTTACATTTACATCAAAGAACATGCCCAAAAACACAGTATTAACATAGTACATGTCTAAAAATCATGGTATTAGCATATTATATATCCAAAAATATGGTATTAGCAGGGCACATGTCCAAAAAACTCTGATTTAGCAGGGACAAATCCAAAAAAAGTATGGTACATCTCAAAAACATGATATAACTGTGGTACATGTCCAAAAAATATGGTAGTAACAGGGTACATGTGCAAAAAACATGGTATTACTGTAGTGTGGTATGTAGTATGGTAGGATGGTACTATCAATGTGTTTATATCTCTTTTTCAGAATGATATTGGTGGTCAGCGTAGTTTGGTTCATAAATGGAGCACCTTTCAGAAAGCTCGTATTGTTTGCTCTGTACCAGGACCCGACGGCATACAGACACACTTTGACAAACTCCGTGAGTAATAGACACCTTCAGATAAATGCCACACACGCACACAAATACATTTAACTCCCACTTGATTACCTAATCAAAGTTTAAGCAAATCTCTCAAATGAAATAAGGCTTTGAGATAACCTTGTACATTTTTTTATAATATAATTTGTACTGTTGATACTGTGTGTGTGTGTGTGTCTTATGCCCAAACTTCCCTGATTTATGGAACAAAGTTTATCAGTAGACTCACATACACACACACACCACACACAGACTCAGACAGAAACCGGTTTCTTATCAATCAGTCTGTGTAAACAAAGACCTCACATAGAATAAACAATTCTTGAGTCCTTGTTCTGACTGAAGTTTTACTGTAGTCTCATACTCATATACTGTATCTATAAGATATACACGTTACAGCACATACAGTACATGTTGAAATGAAAAATCTCAGTTATCAGTGATGACTACACTGAAGATAGCACGTCCCCTAAACTATTCCACCCAAATATGATATAAAACAAGCAATAATCAGAAATCAAGAATGGGTTCCATATCTGGTTGCTACTTTATCAAATCTGCGAGTGGCTTTGAAAGGAACTATTCATTGTCCAGCGTCATGGCAATCTTTAAACAGCTGAGTTTATGTAATTTGTTTAACTGTGTGCATGTCCAGTTATGTTCAAGTGTTAGGGACTTGTGAAATGTGTTTATTTCTTGGCCTACCAAAGTATTTAGAACATCCGAATCTGCTTTGTTCTGATTGGTTAACACTTTAATGTTTACTTGTGACATGTAAAAATGTTCTGATGATTATATAATGTAAGCATGCTCTAATGTGAATATGCATCTCATCTTAGCTGCCCTATGGTGGTAATCTATAAGAATTCTCTTCTCTATCTTGTTTACATTGTGCTCCATGGCCTCTAAACCACTACATCTCCCATAATCTCCCCCTGCGTCAGGGACCCTCATCTTGCCATAGTTATGATGGGCCAGACCACACTGCAGTCAGTGAATGTTAATCAGGAATAGCGAGTTTATAGATTGTACAAAGAAACATGCATAAACTGACGATACGATGAGTCAGATACAAGTTAAGAAATGCTAGGTTGTTGGAAGAGTAGAGTTAGAATTGTAAGTTATTGTGAAATATGGAACAGATGAAGTTTAGGTCTTTAAGAAAAAATGGACTGGCGTGTGTTTTGGTATGCAAGATTGAAGGTGCTCCAGAATGCATCACGGTCTGGTGTAAATGCGTTTAGATAATGTCTGTGTTTGTGTGTGTGTGTGTGTGTGTGTGTGTGGAGGGGATGCTGCCAGTTTCTGTGGCTGTGATTTTGAAGCTGAACTGAATTAGTGTATGATATGTTTTGGATTTTAAATATGGTAAATTGGTATGTTTATTAGCTGAAATTCAGATGGATTATTTTTGAAAGCCTTGAGTTTATGTGTGTGTGTGTGTGTACATGTACAGTACCGTTCAAAAGTTTGGGGTTGGTAAGATTTTTTATTAAAAAAACTAAATAGTAAAAACTGCAATATTGCAAAATATTAACACTGTTTAAAGTAACTGTTTTCTATTTGTATATATTTTTAAAATGTAATTATTCTTGTGATGGGAAAGCTGAATTTTCAACAGTCATTACTCCAGTCTTCAAATTTTTATGCGCATTTTGGAATATCGCATTAAAAAAACGCTGGATGGAAACACCAAGATGCGCATAAATTCTAAAAATTTGCATAAAAAACATATGCACACAATTGAGTAGGAAAAACTTTTTATCAGATAAGAAAAAATGCACATAAACTACGATGGAAACACATTTACCGAATAAATTTCACCATGCGCATAAAAAAAAAAGTCATGTGACTTTGCACAATGGGATGGGATAACTATGGGATGACTAACCAGCAGACCGAGCTCATTGCACAGCATCTGAAATGTTGTTTTGGTTTTTCTGAACAAGTCTTTCATCAAAGTATTTTTGTATAATTGTATTACACGACCCAAACAACAGGCATTCACCTCTGAAAAAAAATGACCACATTAATTGTGTTTCGTCTGCTTGCTCTCAGGCGCAAGTAATTCATCATATATGAAAATTATTATATTAAGTGGCTTCTCCTACTTTTCTTAGTGATATAGTGCCAGTTTATCAGGAAGTGACGATTTTGTTCTCTTTGACTCGTTGGATGGAAACTGTGCTTTATTCGCAAATGTTTTATGTGATAGGCTATTCCAGTTTTGTGCATAAGTTAAATTTGAATCTTTGGATGGAAAAATAACTAGTCTCACATGATCCTTCAGAAATCTTTCTAATGTGCTTTTTATCGAGAGAGGGACAATTGATATTTAAATACATATTGGCTCTAAACAGTTTAATGTTATATATTTCAACATAGATTAATAGAAACACTAATTAACACCTAATGAGTACTTTTTAGGAAATTATTCCTTATGGTTATATACAGACGTTTTGTCACAAAGTGACCTAATTTTCTTGAGTTCACCCTGAATGTTTTAAATTTTTTAACCATATGATGATAAATATATCTTAAAATGAGTGCACAAGCGCATGTGCCATTTGTCCTGGTGGTCTGCTGAATGTTTTGAAGGCCGCCAGTATCTGTGTGTGTGCATTTTCACGTCTACGGTGGCACCCCCATCCTGTTTCCACAGAATCTACTGGCTACCTCAGGATGAGGATGAGGGAGGAGAGCAGAGAGCAGGAGAGTCAGAGGTTAGGAGGGATAAGGACGGATAGGGGCAGGATAGAGAAGTGTCAACAAGTGCAGGGCAGACAAAACTATCTGCCCTCAAGGAGAACAAAAGCTTTTGTTGGATGAAATTGACACAACTATAGCATCCCTGCAAAAGTGAAAGAGAAGAAGAGCCAGGGAATAGGGGGGTAGTGAAAACAATTTGAAAGAGAGGGAGGAGGGGTTGAAGAGAAATAAGGGATAGTAATGGGATTGAGAGGGAAAGAGGGAGTGTGAATGCTTAATTAAAGGGATTCTTTTGGTTTGTGTGTAAAATATGAGGGGAAAACGGGGCGTCTGTGTTTATGTGTGCGGTTATAACCCAGAGAGGTGTGTAATAAAGGTTTCAACCATTTTATAGTACTGATCTAGTTTATGTTCTCAGTTTTTAACAGTTTACGAGAGTCAGTAAATCTATCTCGGGTTTCAAAAGCGTGTCCGTGGTAGCGTGAATGTTTAACACTGCATTTCCAACTAGTGGGTTGTGCCCCATATCTTTTATTGTTGTCAAGGGCTGTGTGTTTGGTCAAACGCGCTAAGAAATTTTAATGTTTTTAAAAAAAATTCTCCTATGCTCACAAAAGCTGCATTTATTTGAACGAAATTACAGTACAAGATCTTTCAGTAATCAATCTAATATGGTGTTTTGGTGCTCAAGTAACATTCCTTATTATCAATGTTGAAACCAGTTGTGCTGTTTAATATTTTTGTCAAAACGGTAACACATTTTAGGATTCTTTTATAAATAGAAAGTTTAAACACAGTTTAAACAGAACAGTGTTTATTTGAAATATAATTTTTTTCTAACAATGTAAAATTCTTTACTGTCACTTTTGATTAATTTAATGTGTCCTTGCTAAATACATACATCAATTTCTTTAAAAAAAGCAGTCTTACTGACCCCACTCTTGCATATTGTTTGGCCTGTGAAGTTGATGGTCATTTACATGTTACTTTACATGTCACTTATTGTCCAATGTAAAATTTGGGTCCTGAAGCAAAACCAGTTGAGAACCACCATCTTAATGTGTGTGTGTGTGTGAGTGTGTGTGTGTGTGTGTGTTTGATTTGATTTGATAAGGTGTTTGATTATATCTGACATGGCTGGGTGTGTGTGTGTGTGTGTGTGTGTGTGTGTGTGTGTGTGTGTGTGTGTGTTTGATTTGATTTGATAAGGTGTTTGATTATATCTGACATGGCTGGAAATACGAGAATGCAGAAATGAACTAGCATACCCCCAACAGCACAAGTTTATTGTGAAGATATAGGTGTGTGTGTGTGTGTGAGTGTTTTTGAACAGAAATGAAACCACAAAAATGCTGCATTACACATGTTTGTTTGTATGAGAAAGAGTGTGACCAGGTAAATATTCTTTTTATGAGTTTATATAGCCTTGAGAGGAATTTAGAGACCACACACACTCATTTGCATTGACTGAAGCACATACAAAGCATGTTTAATATTCTAAACCTGTTTTCTGTTTTTCTGTAGAGCATATTTTCATTCAGCGTGGAAAAGACAAAAAGAACCCCCTCATCTATGGGCTCTTCACCACTACCAGGTGAGTCTTACAAACTGACCTAGTATCAGATTTAAAAAATGTCACTGTAATAAATCGCATTTGAAGACTAAATTCATAGCTGAAATTTCTGTCATCATTTACTCAACTTCAAGTCATTCCAAACTCATTTCACTTTCTTTAAAAAAAAACAATCTTTTGATAACTAACTCCTTACATTTATATAGCGCTTTTCTGGGCACTCAAAGCGCTTTATTGTCCTTGAATACTTTAAGATTTAAAAAGATGTTTAGCAGAATGTTGGTGCTGCTCTATTCCATTAAAAAAAACTAAATGGTGTCTAGGGACGGTCAAGCTCCAAAAATGACAAAATCATCATCAAATGAGTCCATATGACTTATGTGTTACATTCCAGGTCTTCTAAAGCTATTTAAAAGATTTGTCTGAGAAAAAGACTAGAAATTTAAGCTGTTCTACATTGATAAATTTGAATAATAAATTAAGAAACTTTCAATTCAAAACAAAAGTTTTTAAAATGGCTGTAAAATCTTTTTTTGAAAGAAATTAATTTTATTAATGATATTCAGCAAGGATCAAAAGTGACAGCTAATCAGCATATTAGAATAATTTCTAAAGGATTATGTGACACTGAAGACAGGAGTAATGGCTGCTGAAAATTCAGCTTTGATATATATATGATTGGTCACATGTGTAAAACAGCCATTTAAAACAAGTTTTATAAATGGCTGTTTTACACATGACCAATCATGAGTCACTAAATTTTAAAATTATGATTTTGATTTTCAGTGAATAGCAACAACTTACATTTCAGTCTGTTCTGCTCAAAGAGTAATTGTATGGCTTCAGAAGTCAAGTTACTACTGTAGTGATACTTTTATGATGCTGTTTTGTCATTTTTGGAGCTTGACAGCCCCTGGTCACCCTTCACTTTAATTGTATGGAAAAGGTCAGCGTGCACATCATGACAGCCCTGTGTGTGTATGTGGTTAAGGGTGTGGATAAAATTGCAGTATTACTGAGTCATACTTTCCAGCTGGCCTAAGATGACATTAATGATGCACCCATGATGTTTAAAACACATTAGAAGTTGAACCAATTTTACATCAGCGATCTCAAATAGCATATGCCTTCATCTATCTTTTTGAAAATGTGTGTGTGTGTCTGCCTAAGGTTTTGGAGAGGGTTGCATAGGGTGGAGTCCACAATGAAGTATGGATATAGAAAAAGCTGTATGGAAAGAGTGACAGTGTTATTGCTCTCTGCTGAGCAGTTCCACTGAGTGTGTTAAATCTCTCAGAGACTTTCACAGCAGACCCAGATTCAATTCAATTCAGATCAGGTGACATTTTACCCTCACCGAGGAGTCGGTTCCTTACTGCCGACTGGCTTTACGCTTTAACTGAAGTGCCACTTTCATTTGTGCCACCAGAGCTTGGTTTTAATTGGATTTATGTCTGGTCAAAAGCATGTAGGTGAACTGAATAAGATGAATTCTGTTGTTTTGATACATTGTGATTGCTAGTTGATGCTGCCTACTTACAGTATATCTCTCAATCAATTAATGATTAATGTTTCTATTTTTATGTGTGTTTGTTTCCTCTCCCAACAGCAATGTCTTGAATGGATCCCTGCACGCAGGTGACACACATCTCACACTTGTATGGGCAGCTTGTTTGATAGAATCAATTACATCAGCAGTTTCCTGTACACTGAAACCGGAAAGCATTGGTATTTGGGATATCTGAAATAAATCTGATCTGAAACATTCCTCCCTGTCTGCAGAAGAAACATTCGTCAGGTTACCGATGACGGCAACCCACTGAACCAGTGTGTCAGACAGGGAGGTAAGAGACACAGGCAACCAGACATTTACTATTGCTAAACATCCTGCTTTGGAACAGCACCGTCAATTTTGTTTTTATTTATATGTTTTTATGATTTCATTCATTGCTCATTAAATCTGGGTGGAAACTGAAAGGTTGAATAAACGTTCACCATTTGGGCCTTTAGAAAATCACTCACAATTAATATAAAGTAATTAAATCTTAAAAATGCAGTGCTTGTGGTGTGAAATGCTGTGTGTATGTGCACAATACATTCAAGTAAAAAAATAAAATAATAATAATAATACATGTGTATATATAATATATAAATAATAATTTTTATTTGTAATTAATAATAATTGTGATTAATAATAAAAATAACATGAAATGCCATGTGTATGGCATATAATAATTCATAATTCATTAAAATAATTCATTAAAAAATAAAATAAAATACATGATAATAATAATAATGATGAAATAATATTATGTGAGAAACGCCATGCACATATGCACATAGGCCAACAATTAATTCAAACAGTAATAATAATAATAATAATAAAATTATATTATGTGAAAATGCCATGCACATATGCACATAGGCCAACAATTAATTAAAACGGTAATAATAATGATGATAATAATAATAATAATAAATAGTATGTGAGAAATGCTTTCATTTAATTTATGTATTCATTTAATTTGACTTATTCTATTAATTGTTATTCAGCTGGTCTTCAGGTGGATGCAGAGGAGAAGACACAAGTTGTTGCCTTGGGTAATAGCACCTACCTGGAGTGTCTACCCAAATCTCACCATGCCACAGTCACCTGGTTTAAAGACATAGGCGAGAACAGCTTGGAGCAACATAAGGTACATGCACACTCATGCATGAACTAAAAACATGATCAAATATTGAGATATATCTCTAATTTTGAACCTTCTGTCTTCCAGGTCAGATCTGGGGAGCAGCTGGTTGTCATTGACAGGGGCATCCTCATTCGCCAGGCTGAGCTCAATCATGGCGGCATTTATCATTGTCAGCTTGAAGAGCATGGATTTCGCTGGACAGCCGTTACTGTTCGTTTAATTGTGTGGAGCCCTGCTCTGCACCCCACTCTTGTCTCCTCCCAGCCATGGTACCAGGATGTGATGGCATTGATCAACCATGGCAAACTGGAGCGACACTGCAAAGAATTCAGTCAGCGTCACAACAACAAGGAATCAGGGAACCACAAGCATAACAAACAGGACAGAAAGAGAGCAGACCGGCACAGGCACAGAGGAGGGGGAGAGAAGGAGAAAGGAAGGGGGCGGAAGAACCGGAGTCGAATGCAGAGTTCAGCACAGAGGCTGCCGAGGAGTGCATAGACCAAATCACAGGTGTTTACAAAGCTGCTCAAAACAAAAGAATACAACAAAACATGCAATATACAGTATATGCACAGTACATATACACACAGCATCATAATAACAGACATTTGCTTTGTTTCAAGACCTAATGAACTGCCTGCATGCAAGTTTAAAAAAATACATGCAAGATGGGGGATGACAATAGAAAAATGTTGATAAACTTATATTTTATTAAATTCATTCAAAGACGTGTTTCGATATAGAGTGATCAAAATTTTGGGTGCAGCAAGATTTTTGCATTAAATTGATCAAAAGTGACAGTAAAGACATTGTTACAAAAGATTTATATTTTAAACAAATGCTGTTCTTTTGAACTCTATTCATCAAAAAATTGTAGCACTGTTTCCACAAAAGTATAAATCCATAATTGATACTAATAATAAATGTTCCTTGAGCAACAAATCAGCATATTAGAATGATTTCTGAAGAATCATGTGATGCTGAAGATTGGAGTAATGGCTACTGAAAATTCAGCTTTGCCATCACAGTACTAAATTACATTTATAAAATATATTAGAATAGAAAACAGTTATTTTACTTTACTGTATTCTTGATCAAATAAATGCAGCCATGGTGAGCATGAGACCTTACTTCTTACTGACCCCAAACTTATTAACAGTATTGTAATTAAAAACATTATTTTACCAAATATTTAATGAATACTATGACATGCTAACTGAAAACTTAATTGCATGTCAAGAATATCTGTGTGTTGTCCAGAATTGTAGAGTGTCAAATCTCTTAATGAGTTCAGTGACAAGTAGAATGCTGCCTATGTAGGCAATGAGGCAGCTTACCAGGTTTTGGAACAAAGCTAGTATCTGAATCATGTGAAGGATTGTTACCAAGCAAATTAAGAATGATCTGGTATTGGTGTGGTCAAGAAGAAGTGTTTACTTTAATATTAAAAACCAATTGATTATTTGAGGACTGTGTTAAGCATATTTGACAAATTTTTTAAGACAAGTGAGTGTCCCCAAATTATCCTCTGTTGAATAAAAGACAAATCTTCCAAAGTTAGGGAGCATCTTAAAATGTTCTTTGTTTAAAAAGACTTCAGTGTTGATGGCACGTTTTCATCTGTACTGAAATGTATTGCCTTATTTATCTTTCATGGTATTTATTTTCTTGTGTTTTTATGCTTTGTGTTTATTGTCATGCATTTTAAGTGGAAAAATTGTACATGCTATTATTTTCTTTTTAGTATTTAAATAGAGTGTAATTCTGTCTCTGACGCCACTCATTAAGGTTTCGAGACATTTATTTAAATGAATTAACAAAAGCAAAAGTCCCAAAATGCAGCAGATCCTGTAGGATGATGAACGATGTGTTTCTCTGGGGATCGATGGAGGCACAAAGGGTGTGTTATTTTACTGGACTGAAACGGCAGCTACTTTCTTCTGCACATGGACGATGCACGACTGCCAAGAAGTTTGGCACCCGCCCTGAAAGGCCTCCATTCAGAAGGATGGAAAACCAAAAGATAAATTAAGAAAAAAGGATTTAAAGGCTTTAAAGTACAGTACAAACAGAGAGAAGAGGAGCAAATTCAAATGCAGTCAGACCCAAACCACATGACGGAGACAGAAGCAGTGATCTGTGTGTATATGTTGGAGCAGCTCGGTTCACCAGGAGACTCAAACAAAACTCGAATGTTGTTAACAGTCATAAAATAAACAAAGAAAATGTAGAATAGATGTTTCATGTTCATGTTTTACATATGAAGAGGTAAATCCTGCCCTCAATTATTTAAACCTTGTGAAACGTGTGACTTTGTCTTACCTTTAACTGTAAATCTGGTTTTCATTAATGGACTTTGAACCTTGAATAAAGTGTTTCGGAAGACTCTCGTGAAATTGAGAGAAAAAGAACAGAATTCAGCATTGCACTACTTAATGTATTCCACTTTGTAATAATAATAACATTTGCATACAGTATGCTGCTGTATACAGTACATGTACATACATTTTACATTTAGCAGACGTTTTTATCCAAAGCGACTTACAAATGAGGACATTGGAAGCAATCAACATCAACAAAAGAGCAATGATATGCAAGTGCTATAACAAGTGTCAGGTAGCTTAATGCAGTACACGTAGCAAGGTTTTTAAAAAATCATATAATAAAAAGAAAACAGATAGAATAGAAAAAGAATAGAGCAAGCTAGTGTTAGAGAGAAATGAAAATACCAAAAAATTACTGCATTAGTATTTTGGTCTGCATAATATAAACAGAAAAACACTCTCACATGCACAAACATGTGCTGGAATTTTCTCTGGCCACTGCTTGCTTTGTGACGAGCATTTGAATTCCATGAGTGCATTAGTGTATATTGCATCCTACTTGTAAATGACAGGACACAGGGAAATTGACTAGGCGGGTTGCCTTGGATACAGCTGCCCCTTAAAACACTCACAGAACTGAATACCAAATAGACTTGGAGAGCCTATAAGTGAGTAAATGAGATCGGTGATGCAAATAACGAAGTGAGGGGGAGAGACTGAAGGAGAAAGAAAGAAAGTGAGAAAAATTGCACTATTTTATATTAAGGAAGATGACTGCCTTGATGTTGTTCAATACTTACAACTGTCTTAATACGCTTTTTTGATCTTATTTAGCACAATTATTCAGCATATATTATAGCACAGTTTAAAAAAGAAAAAAAGAAAAAAGGTTATCAAAGTATAATAATTTTCTTTACCTCTGAAATTGTCATTTAGGTATGTTTTAGTCTACTGTTTTAGTCTTTCTAAAAGCCAATAGTTAATGCTGTAAATTAATGTAAATGTCAAAGGTCATTGCAAATAACAGGATATTTAACATGGAGATACTACATCAAGATAATAGTAAGGTGAATTTGACCTTCTGACGCCACAAAATAAAAGCCTCCTCAAAAGCAAATACTGACATCTGCTAGGAAGTAGTCCTTCCCAATTGCTTTATTCCAGTATGGAACAACCACTTTTTACAATCCAATTAATTCCTGATGAATAATAATCAAGTCTTGCCCTACAGTTTTCAAGTTGAATACATTGTTTCACTTAGAAATATATCAAATTACTAATGTAAACTGACTTGTGAATGTTGTTTCATGTGGACTACAGTCCCCTAAAGAGGTCAAGACTGACTCACAGCATTACTCTGGCTCTACTTCAGAGGGCATTATTGCAGGGGGAGGTTTTTTGGATAATAACAGGATCTTAGAGGTTTTGGTCTTGGTCAGGGTTTTGCGACAGGGTCAAAGCTGACCTAAGTTTTGCTGATGTGGTTGACAATTCCTTTAATTCTAGCCTATAAAATGAGAGCTGGGTAAAAATACACACAGCCCACTGCACAGGACGTGGGAGAGAGCAGCGCCAGTAGCTCAATCAATCCGCGGCGTCTACCGCCCCTTGTGGTGAAATCTGTGTACTAGATGTCTGCTGTCTAGAAATCTCTCTTTGTGCATATAAATGAATAATTAACCATAGGTTTATTATTTATTAATTCTATAACTCAGCCCTCTGATAAACTACATTAAGGTATGAGTATATAAAAACACAAAATGCGTTTACATGCAATTTTACGCACGTCTTTTATGTCATGAGATTTATCTCTGAATGTTATGCGGAACAATAACGTCACCGTTGTGTTTCAGTACGACAAATATTCAGTGCGGACTCAGTTGGGAACCTTCATCCTGGGCGAAGAGCTGCAGGTAAATATTTAACTTCACAAATCCCCCATTGCATTCTGAAACATGACAAAACAACCCAAACTCTAGCAGTAATAGTCAAAAGGCTGCGGGTTTTCGCTGAAAGCTCGCAGAATAACTGCGAACTCAGAGGCCTGCATTACAGCTAAAGCCTATCTGAAAGCTAACGTCAGGTGACCACTGTCGCTTCCTTGATCCGTTTATTAACATTTATTGTTTGTCAGGTTGTGATGCTGAATGTTTGTGAGAATATCGATGCTTGTGCGTCATGATTTTTAAGACCCGCAAATCATTGTTGCTGGTGATTTCAGCCTCATATGATTTCAGTTTCTCTGTCATTAGAGAGACACTTCATCGCTAGATACAATCTTTTTAGGTTTCATTGCTTATGTCAGTAAGTAAATAACCCAATAAATTGATTAGCAACGAGTAAACTGACAGCTGTCAAAACAGACTCAGGAAACTGATCGAGGCACTTCATAATGCCTGTGATTACATGTCAAGTGAAACTCAAGATCGTTCGTGAAAAATAAGGTTTTGAATAAAATAATATATTGAAAAAATAAAAATGACAAACAACAAAATTACTAAAACTTTAAAATGTATGGAAAACATAAAATGTAGTAATAAAACTAAAAACTATAATATTATCTTAATGATACTAAAATAATGCTGTCTTAAATGGGTTGGATATGCAATGTTGCCTAATATTATTTTCCCCATTGTGTAGTTTGAGAAGAAACATTTCATGATGCTGTTATAGATCATAAGCAGTGCCATATTTAATTTTTTTCTTCCATCTATGGAAATAAATAGATTTATTATAATAAAAAGTTTTTTTATAATATGCAATGTTTCCAAAATAATTCAAATGACACACTCTTTGTATAGTGAATTTACCATCAATACCATGCATGAAATATAAATGAAGAATGATCTGGTATATATTATCATTCTTATTAAATAAGTATAAAATATAAATGATCATAAAATATGTCAATAAACTGTCATTTGTACAAATTTTTATAAGAATTTAGGCCTATGTCTTGCATCACATTTAACTTTAGCTTTACATCACTAATGGTGATGATGATGATTTGTTGCAGCGGGTGGAGGGATGAGCCGCTCTTCTGTGACCGGTCAGGATGCGCAAGAAGCAAGCAATGGCGTGGACACCTCAAGTTTGTCAGGACCTCATGGATTCGCTACCCAGGGGTTAATGTTCAGTGATGGGGCTGATTTTGAGACTCTCAAACACACACTTCACCACATAGACTCATGTAGAGACAAACACACACTCCAGTCACACACAGATCACTCAGAGTCACTGGTTCAACACAACCAGTGTGCACATATTCCAACTGAAGACGGCTCACACGAGGGCACGCACTCCTGTGAGACTGAGCTAATACACGGCCACTCTCAAAAAGAACTGGAAGAATGGAGGGGGGAGGAGGATGAGAGAAAGACAAGTGATGGAGAGGTGAACAGTGTCAACAAGGGAGAGATCAAGCAAAAAAAGGAGACTCTTATTTCTGTACAGGTAAGGGGTTAGATCAAAGATGTGCGCTGGTACTTATTCAATTAAATACTAGTGTATAATGTAATAAAATCTTAATATTATTAATAGGGTTGCAAAGGGGTGGAAAATTTCTGGAAACTTTCCATGATTTATTTGGAATTTTTCAGAAACTTTTGGAAAGTTTCCAGGTAATTAGCGGAAATTTTCCACCCCTTTGCAACCGTAATTTAAAAAATAAATAAAATCAATTTAAACTTAGTAACATAATAATAATAATAATAATAATAATAATAATAATAATAATAATAATAATAATAATAATAATAATAATAATAATAATAATAATAATAATAATAATAATAATAATAATAATAATAATAATAATAATAATAATAATAATAATAATACAATTAATAACTAACATCATAATTATAAAATAATGAATAATAATTAAATAAGTCCTACAAATTATTACATTTAAAGAGCTATATCTAATCGATGCTTTTGTACTCCATTTAATTAAATTATAATAATTACTTACGTGTATATATAACAATTAATTAAATTATTACATATAATATAATAAATATTAACATAATATAAAAAAATTATAATTTCCACAAATTACATAATAATAGTAATAACAATAATCTCTATAAATTATATTTAAGGAGTTAAATCAAATGTATGCGTTTTATTCACTTTAAATACTAATATATATTTAATATAACATATATTAACATCATGTTAATAGTAATAAAAATAAAATATTAAATCTTATGTTTGTAACAATATTTCCAATAAATTAATACTTTTAATTCACTTAATTTATTAATTTATAGGGAAATAATTGAACTTTATGTCCAACTTGTGTAACTCAAATATGTCTATCTTGAACTTTTTAATAAATAAACTGATCTGCACAAATTACAGCCAGTTGGTACGCTCTCAACTGAACACCCTCCCACTCGCTCAGAATCTGATGAATGGGCCAATCCTGATTCTTCGGATGAAGTCCAGCCAAATGCTTCCATTTCTCCTGATGAGGCCCCTCCCCTTGTTCCAGCCCCTCCTCCCGACCAGGCCACACCCCCTCTGCTGCCGGACCTGGACGATTCTCCGTGCCCGGCTCACGTGATGGCGGAGGTGCGTGTGCGGTCAGTGCCAGAGCGAGATCGAGTCGTGCGTGGCATGCAGGACAGTAAGAGCCTGGATGAGATCAGTGGGGCGTGTGGGGGCGGGGCACGAGGAGGCGGGGCTAGAGGCGGACAGGTGGAAGGACGCAGAGCTACCATATCCAGTGCCCTCGAATTGGAGGGAACCGTCAGCCATGATGGAGATCTCACGCACTTCATCACCAAAAATCTTGAACAGAAGATTAAAATGAGCTCGCGTCCGAGTCTGGACACAGATTGTGAGTATCTAAGGGTGTCAAAAAATTGTTTATAATTAGTTATGTAATGTACCAGTAATATGTAATCTGTGTGTGGCTACTTCAGCGGACTGTTCTGGACCTGTGGTACGTGGTCGTGGCTCTTTGCGTCGGCCGGCTGATATTCCGCCCATTGACCCGTCAGTTCTGGCAGACCTGCACAAACACACACAGGATGTGGCTCAGAGTGTAGAACTGATGCTGCGAAGCCTCAATGGAACTATACAGAATGTGAGTATTACCCTGGATCATATACAGCCACCCAAAAAATATTTGGACACTTAATCTGCATTTCAAAATACCGAAACCAGTGCAGCCTGTAAATAAATTGTGCTGTTCCTTTTTTTAGAACTAATTCTTAGCCATTTTTGAACTAGTTTTTAGCCACATGGTCTCAAGGTAATTTTTATTGGCTATATAAAGTCAATTCCCCTCAACTTCACACTTCACCTATTTCCACTGATGTTATTCTGGTGCTGGTTCCTGGTCAATTTGCATACTGTTTCACAGACTTCTGCTACAGACAAACCAGTTCTGAGGCATTTATTGATCCTGTGATGGCAAAGCTGAATTTTCAGCCGTCTTCAGTGTCACATGATCCTTCAGAAAGCATTCTAATAGGCTAATATGAAACATTTTTTATATGTTGAAAACAGCCATGCTACTTAATATGTTTGTGGAAACCATTATATATTTTTCAGGTTTGAACAGCATTTATCTGAGAAATAAATATTTTATACCATTATAAATGTATTTACTGTCACTTTTCACTCATTTCATGTGTCTGTGCTGAAAGAATTAAATTATTAAAAAAAAACAAAAAAATCTGTCTGACCCCAAACAGTAGTATATATAATTTAATTTAATATAAATTAAGTTATCTTTATTTTGTTATAGGAAGATCAAATCACATTGTAGGTTAAATTTGTGCAAAAATACAGAACAGGTTTTAAAACTTAATAGCTTTTTCAGTGTCCAAATAGTTTTTGGGGTCACTTTTTTTGTATGCAACCCTCATTTTATCTCACTTATGCATTTATGCACATATTGCTTTGAATATAAATTAAAATCTTGTGTCTCTCCAGATGACTGCTTTAAGTGTGGGTTATATCCAGACCTACAGAGATTCTGTGGACAGTTTGGGAGAGTCAGTGGACATGAGTATAAAGGTGAGAGTGACTTGTATTTATCAGGTCAGGCGAGTTATAATTTAAATTGTATCTTGTGTTTTGATCTGTGTTTGCTTGTGTATGTGTTTCCAGGGAATGTACACGCTCATGGCGCGGTGTGAGGAGCTAGATCGGTCCATGCAACCTATACATGCTCTAGCTGCTCAGATCAGAGACATCAAACGAACCCTTGATGCCCTAGAAACCATCTGCAAGTAACTATGGCAGCAAACCACACCCCCTGTCTGAGTGGGGACTCCACCCCTTGGAGAAAAGCAGTGGCTCCGCCTTCTGCAGTCATTCTGCTACACACCGTGCAATGGAACCATTTTGCTAATTATAATGTTTACTAGCAATGCTCTGCAAGTGCTCGTCCCCTTAGAGACAGCTTGTTTCTCACCCTTCCCCTTTGGAGGCCACATCTTTAACCACCTCCTTTTGTCGTGGCTCCTCCCCTCTAGAATGTTCGCACGGCAAAATAGACTCCTCCCTGTGATACATGCCGTCCAACATCCACAGGAAGCACTCTCTGTTGTTGGTGGCTTTTGGGCAACTGATTGGTGTTACCATTGCCTCTGTTTATGAAGTCAGTGTGTGTGTATGGAACTATCGGTGGGTATATTGACAGATTGCATGTTAAATGCCTCAAATTGAAGACATAGAGTAGAAGTTTAACACCAATATTCATCAGTATGCAAGCCATGCTCTGTGTATACTTGTTCCTCCCGGACGTCTGTGTTTCTGCAGGATGGATGCTATGCATCCCAGATCAGTTAGTTCACCTGAAACTAAATTCTGATATCATTTACTCACCTTCTTGTTGTTTGAAACCTGTATGACTTTTGTGTGTGCCAAAGGAGAATTTTTGAAGACTGTGCTCACCATAAATCATGAGTAACAACTTACTTTTCAATCTGTTTCTCACACAAAGATATCGCATGACTTCGGAAGAGTTGTGCACACATCATATGAACTACTGTTATGATGAAAGCTTCAGTCTCCATTCATTAATTGCATGGAAAAGAGTGGCCAGGACATTCTTCAAAATATCTTCTTTTGTGTTCTTCAGAGGAAAAAAAGTCATACAGGTTTGGAACGCCATGAGGGTGAGTAAATAATGGCAGTGTAATTTTTTGGGATGAACTATTCTTAACACAAGCACTGGAAACGCCCACCTACAAATATTGGACTCTTGATTACTGTATTGAGAGTAATGACAAATGTCCTGTCATTTGTTTAACTGTTTTGTAATTGTCTGCAAGTGATTATCACAGGAAAAACCCTCCGCTGCTGCACCCTCCAAGGCTTCGAACCACTGGCAGCGGAAGTCCTTCTTCCAGAGATCTATGTAAGCAGTGGGAAGCTCTCCTGTGGCCCGGACACCTTCTGCCCCGTTTGGGAGAAGCATAAAGTGGGCTGAAGGAAGATGCAGGAATGTGGGGTCCTCAGGTTTCTTACGCACACAGCGTCCACGGCCCTGACACAATGAGACTCCACAGAGATGTGCTGCAGTCGTCACATTGACAGCATATGGGCCAAGAACCTGACGAACATACGAGCCGAACTCTGAACAGGATTTCTGTAGAAGACACACATGCAGGTTTAAATAATATCAGTCTTACAGGAATATCTAATGACTAATGAAAAGTATTATAATGAATAAACTAGAAGGTGGACTGGAGAGTTGTTTCTGGCTCTTACGCTCAGCAACACTCTTAAAAATAAAGGTGCTTCACGATGCCATAGAAGAACCTTTTTGTCTAAATGGTTCCATAAAGAACCTTTAACATCTGAAGAACCTTTCTGTTTCACAAAAGGCTCTTTGTGGCGAAAGAAGGTTCTTCAGATTATAAAAAGATAAGAAAGAGATGGTTCTTTAAAGAACCTTTGACTGAATGGTTCTTTGTGGAACCAAAAATGGTTCTTCTATGGCATCGCTTGAAGAACCTTTTGAAGCACCTTTATTTTTAAGAGTGTACAGTAAAAACAGTAGTGTTGTGAAATGTTGTTACAATTAAAAAGACTGTGTTTTCTATTTGAATGTATTTCAAAATGTGGTTTATTCTTGTGATGGCAAAGCTGAATTTTAAGCAGCCATTACTCCATTCTTCAAAGTCACATGATATTTCAGAAATTATATGCATTTATATGTATCAACAGTGCTCAAGAAACATTTATTATTATTATCACTGTGGAAAACAATATTATTGTGTTGATCAATATTTTTGAGGGTAACTTTTTTTTTTATGATTCTTTGATGAACTTATGAAAGTTCGAATGGAAATCTTTTGTAACGGTATAAATATCTTTATTGTCAACTTTGACCAATTTAATGCACCCTTGCTGAATAAAAGTGTTCAGAAACTATAAACTTTTGAACGTTAGTGGACAAATGAACAAATGATTTAATGATTACCTGTGTTTTAACTGCTAAGGATTTTTCCCATATTATGACTCCAGATGCTCCCATAGCAGCACTCTCTCCAATTGTGTTCACCAGATCAATCTGATACGTATTCAATACAGACATATGAGGTTGTACTGAGTGACAACAAAGTCCTTATAAGGTACACAGATATTATTATATTATATATTATTTATTCTATATTTTATCGGCTCACTCAATAGATTACAGCTTACTATTCATTACCTCTGAGAGAAAGGAGTTAGAAGAGCTGTACACAATCTTGATCAGTGGAAACACAGGAAGATCAAAGGTAGTCCCTGCAAGAGCCGCCACTCGTAAAGACTCTCTGATCTGATTGGTTGCATAAAGCCACGTCCCTTTAGTGCCCTCTGGCAGCTTCTCCAGTGAGAGTGCTGGATAGAGGGCACCGCTTCGCTTCCACAGCCACATCAGCTCATCATTAAGGGCCATCTCTGCCGCAGGGCACCGTCCCGTGTAATTGGCTAGTGCTATCTGGGTGGAGTCAAAGTTATAGCAGTTAGGAAATGGGGCCATGCCCCATAATCTTTGTGGGCGGAGTCTCTTCACCTCCCGCAGGGTTTCCATCATAATGGACTGTGCTGCTGCTTCAAAGTCAACCTGACAGGAAATTAAATCATATGATCGATTTATACAACATAATGCAGAATGATAGTCTCAGAAATATCATAATATGTTGTGATTGTCATCACCTGTGACCATTTCTCCACTTCCTCTGTCCTCCAGTCTGGAAAAAATCTCTGGAGAAGTGCCCTCGACTCCACAGTATACTTTGTTTTAATTCCCCTGTTCCTGTTCCACTGAGGCGTCCACTCCTGCCAGCGCAGCACCCCTAAACCAGGTGCTCCTGCTTGGGGTAATGAGGCCGTCAGGTCGCCCTCCACCCTCTGGAGGTGAAGGTCAAGGCTGGTGTGTTGTGGTAGGCCACCGTTGACAGGACGATCCTGTGCAGTGAAATATGGGTAAAGTCCTGTGTCCTCATAAAATATTGCCACACGGCCTTCCCACTCCATCCCAAATGCAGCTGGGTCAGGCCGACCCAAACAGTCTTTATCTGGAACCCCCCATAACACCAAGAAAGGTTGGCCAGAGAGAAGAGGGGCCCGGGCAGGACCGCAGACACATGGACGAGTGAAGAGACCGAGGAAAAGGAATAGAAGAGAAAGGGAGAGGAGGACAGATGTGTGTTTTCTTCCAGCCATAGAGCTGAGCGAGAGGTTTCAGGGCCCCTCACCCCAAAACTTGCACAAAAGCCTCCTTGGAGATGGATAATGTCTGGAGATAAAGACACAGAGACACCTTTGGTAAGGTATTTATTTCCTTATTTTATCGGGAAATTATTATTTTGTTAGGAGGATTTCTGTTTTGGCGTGTTTGTGTCCGTAATGAAACGTGGAGCAATTCAACAATGACTTCAGTTGCACATTGTTTTATTAATTTTAAATAAACAAGAAGCTTTCAGGTCAAACAACTGAAATTCAGGACAATTTGTAGACAGAAATATTCCATCCCACACTCATAAAGTTTTGGGGAGCTCAGGGCTAGTTATCACAAAATCTATATCTCATTCATTATAATTGAAGGTATAGATTTTAATCCAAAACGTGAACTGCTTTCTTGTGATAAGCATGTTGACACAAAAGGTAAATTCATGTGAATGTGTATATATTTCCTAAGAATATTTTATTTATTATTTTTTATATAATTTAGATATATTTCTTTATTTTTCTTGGCGCAATTTTCAACAGCTTTTTGTGTCAGCCATTGACAGTAATAATAGGCTAATAATAGGCTACCAAATAAAAGTGTGAAGTCTGAAAGAAAAGTGTGATCACAAGTCCCTGTTTACCAATTGAAAAAACAGAGCTGCGACGCTGCGTCAAAGGAAACAAAGGGAGACGCTTTAGGATAATTAATTGCTAACAGGATTAATTAGTGCTGCCCAAATTCAGCGATAAACTCTCTTTAAATTGTACTAATACGAGTCTGCAGTTCACAAGCTTTTCAACAGAGGGCGCCAGAGGGCCAAGCAACACCTGCGTCTCATGAAACTGATGCAACATATTTATCGATCTCTTTACCGATGTACTTTGAAAAAATACTGCAGTAACATACTAATCTCCAGTTCGTTATTCGGTAGTTACTTTTTTTTTTAATGGTTAAAGAAGTCTAGCAGCTGTTCTGTTCGTGTATTCCTTGAAAACACAGTCCACTGCTGCAAGCATCCTAAAATAGTCTAAAATGTAAACCATCCTTTTCAGCATGAAAAAAGGAAACCATGTACATGGAAACTATGCTAACCATAGTTTATACCACAATTAGTACAGATATTTCTTCTTCAATAAGCTGTACTTATTCTGTATTATTTATTTATTATGGGGTTTAACAATAACTGTTGTAGGCCTGTGTTTTTGGGTGGACAAATGTGTGGCTCTCCATTCATTGCTAAATGTAACATGAACCCATTTTACGCTGGAGGGCTAACTCTGAAGTGATTTCGGCCACTCAAACCATGCCATATAATAGCCGTGACACATACAATTATATATGTGTAATGAGCTGAATGCAAAGTAAAATGAGTGCCTTTCTCTGAATAGGCTCTCTGAGATTGAAACGGTAGGACCTGAAAGCTATGTTATCGTTCTCACACATTTAGAAGTTGTGTTGTTTTTCATCTGGTTAAACTGGGCTATGTCAAAGTAAGCTGTTGTTGTTGGGTGTAATAGTTTTAGGCCAGTTCCTGTTTTCAAGGAACCGGCTGGGAATCGACTTAGCTTTTATAATGCCAATTTCCATCTCATTTATCTAACATTTGGAGCAAAACACAGATGCTTAACTGATAGTTTGGTTTCCCTCCTCAGGTGCTTGAGGAGATGGGATCGGAGTGCTGGATTGTGTTACTCACCTCTGCATTGGCAGATCAGGTGTGTGTGCCTGGATCTCCAGGTCAAAGAATCCAGAAGGAAGGGTCAAGATGATGAGGACTCCTCTGAATGGGGAATAATAAGAAATGAGCGTTTCTGTGCAGGTTTGTGTGTTCAGGTCTCCAGGCTCGTTAAAGAAAGCCACGGAAGGTAGAGACTTCAGCTCAACCATGAGGGATGAGATGACAGGCTGTCCTGACAAAAAGATGGATGAAGTGACAGAAGGAGGAAATAGAAAGGAAAGGAGGCTACCTCACCTTCACCAGGGTAATCTGTTAGTAAGTAGGGTCACCACAGACCATGACAATCACATGATCAGACTCACCATAATCCCTTAATCCGCCACTCCTTCCTAGCAAACACACCTAATTCAAAAACACGCGCACACACACATCCATCCATCCATCCAAGCACACATATATGCACAAAACTGTCACAGTGACACAAATTTACCCAAAAGAAAAAAGATGAAAATACTTACTAAAAAATGCATTGACTGTGTTTTCTTCCTGTTTTCTTTTTATTCAACATCATACCTGACATGAAACAGAACATTTAGGTTTAATGGATGAGCCTCATATCAAACTATACCTTTCATACCTCTTTTACTTTTAAATCTCTTCATTTTCCTTGCTCTTTGGTTTCTGCCTTTCTCCCTTTCCTCTCTTTCTCATTTCTCTGTCAATTTTCTGAAGTCTAATCCCATTTCCTGAAAAGGATCACTGGCAAGATTATTCACAATTATATCATCCAGACATAATCTGGCATAATCCTGTTCGTTTGTATAGTCTCTGTTGGTATTACAGATAAGATAAAAGAAGGATTGGTGTCATTCCAGGTTGTTTGTCTTTCTTATGTCCATATTGAAATGTATAGACATAAACGTGAATCTTTTATGAGCATTTTTTTTAAAGTTAATGAGAGGGAGTTTTTTCTTGTCAGGCTTGAATTAAAAAAAAAATTTTTTTTTGAAAGAAATAAAAATATTCACAATGTTACAAAATATTTCTATTTCAAATAAATGTTGTTCTATTCATCAAAGAATCCTGAGAAGAAGAAGAACAGTGCGGTTTCCACTAAAATATAAAGCAGCACAGCTGTTTTCAACATGGATAATAATAATAAGCGTTTCTTGAGCGTCAAATCAGCATATTAGAATGATTTCTGCAGGATTATGTATAAATATATTAAAATATAAAACCGTTATTTTAATGTTGTAGTAATAATTATTAAAAATGTCTATATATTACTATACATAACATTACTATAATATCAATAAAAATAACAATAATAATTCACGATAATTTTACTGTATTTCTATCAAATAAATACAGTCTTGGTGAGCACAAAAACTTACCAACCTCACAGTTCTAAATAATATATTGATATTATTCAAATTCTAAATACAGTGTATTTAGAATGTGTATTAGAGTGTTTGTATTATATATTATAAATATATTACGTTATATTTTATAATTTCAATAATTATTAAAAATATAGAAATACATTTATAAAGCAAAGTTGTATTTGTCATAAGTCATTTATCCTGATTAACAAAATGTATAAAAAAAATGTAAACACACTCAATTAACACCATTTTCTATGTAAATTTCTTCTAAATATGATCTGGAATGATTCACCAAAATTTTCAGGTCGTTATCACACTCTAACATTTGTGATAAATCTGGAGTGAAAGTAAGACTTCTGTTGGGCTTTGTCTGTTCTCTATTTAAACATCTGAAACTGGCCTCTAATTGCAGGTTCACTTGTGCTTATATTCAGTAGTGTATGCTATTTTGTGTATGTGTGTGTGTGGATGTCTTACCTGGTCAAGGTTGTGTGTGTTTGTGTGTGCATATGTTTAGTTGAGATTATCTGTTTGAGGTATCTAAGGTGATGCCTGCTCTCCAGGTCCGTCACCATGGCAACGACTCAGATGAGTCCGGCCCAGCCAGCGGATGGGGGTTAAGGATGTTTGTGCGTGTGTGTGTGTGCGTGTGTGTGTGTGTGTCTGTGTGTGTGTGCGTTTGTGTGCGTGTTCATGGTTTGTACATGGACATCCAGTTTTGTGGAAGCATGTTTGACAGATCTCTGTGTGTGTGTGTAGAGTTGGTTTTGGTAAGATTGACCTTTATGTCATCATGCTTGATATGCGATTAGACTGAACACTGATGATATGAAAAGTGATTTAGTGAAGACAGATGATCAGAACATAGACTCATCTTAAGTTATGGCAATCAAATTGTACTCAAGAAATCTCAATGTGAGATGTTATGTCAAACATGTAGCTCACTTGTTATTTCTTTCTGTTTCTGTATATGCAGATGGAAACAGGTGTGTAGGCTTGGAATTGACCTTGGTCACCCCACTGAGCCACTGTAAACACCTCTAACTGCAGTTTATTCTCTTAGTCCTGCTTTTCACACAATCACTGCTCATGTGTTTTTGCTGTTTACTTGCTAGGCAGTTACAATGAAGATAGTTTAAAGCTATTTTTATTTGTATTTTGCATTAATTTGTTATGTGGGCAGTGGGCATCTATAATGAGTGTAGATAGAAAAATGCCTGATCAATCACCTTTCTCACTATTAGCCAGTATTTTGATATTGCTTTCCATGAACTGTTTTTCATGTGGATGTTTGTGTCATACCAGGAAAATGTGTGAGGGGTGTGACTTTAAATAATGTATTTGCTAAAATATGGTTCGCTACTAGAATTTTGCGTCCAGAATGTGATCAGTAGGGCTTCTGTGAATGCAGCTGAGGAAAAAATAGTAGTTGAGGAAAAATTATTTTTATCTAGGTGATGAATTCACCACTTTTTTTAAAAAAATAGGTTCATGTTCTTCTCTAATTGATTGAAATGTTACCTGGATTACCAGGTCAATCATCTTAAATTAGCAGATGGTCCAGATGAGTTTGTGTGTGTCTGTGTGTGTGTGCGCGTGCGCGTGTTTTTGTGACAAATGAGGACATACATTTGTATAATGACAAAGGTATGACATAGGTATTACAAGGAGAAGGTGACTTTTCAGGACATTACCCCATGTCCCCACTTTTCAAAACGCTTATAAATCACACAGAATGGAGTGTATTGAAAATCTGAAATAGCACAACGTTTCCTGTAAGGGGTAGGTTTAGGGGGTAGGGTTGGTGTAGGGCAATAGAATATACGGTCTGTACAGTATAAAAACCATTACGCCTATGGGATGTCCCCACTTTTCACAAAAACAAACCTGTGTGTGTGTGTGTGTGTGTGTGTGTGTGAGAGAGAGAGAGAGAGAGAGAGAGAGAGTACAGGTTTGGCTGTACTTGTGAAGGACATCTCATAAATATTGTGAAACCTGTCTAACTTTTGAGGACATTTGAAGTGTTCCTTGCAGTTTGAAAGGCTCATAAATCATGTTTTACTTTAAAAGTGAAAGTTGACAGGTTTCTGTGTTGGTAAGGGGTCGAATATAATAAATATACTAATGAATGCTTTTGGATACTTTTCAATGTTATTTTAAAGTTAATGTTTATCACATGGTTTACTTCAAAAGCAAAAGCAAAGGGACAAAATTATTTCATATGGTAACTGACATAAATGCAGCTGACAGAACTTAACTTATATTGAACCTAGAACATTCCTTTAACTTCAGACTGAATCCCAACTTCAACCTCAAACCAACAAAGCTTATTCTCAGTCCAACTTCAAACTTAAGGCTAAAATCAGCATTGCACTTAACCTGTACTTCATTCCTAACTAACCACAGCCACAAAACCAGCCTCCCCCTTAACCTCAACAGAAAAACCTCCTTCATAACCTAAATTTGAACTTTTCAACCTCAGTCTCATCCTGAACCATCATGTTACTGATTGTTGCTTGTTCACCATGCTGTTAACTATAGTATTTTCTTTTTACATTTAACTTTTAATGTACTGTCACAGTCCTGTGCTGTTCTATACTGTACATTCACTATATGTACACACTTAAAAATAATACTTTTATTCAGCAAGGATGCATTAAATTGATCGAAACTGATAGTGAAGACATTTATAATGTTACAAAAGATTTCTATTTCAAATAAAATGCTTAAATAAATGTTCTTTTGAAAACATCTGTTTTCAGCATTGAAAATGATAATAATGATAATTGTTTCCTGATTACCAAATCAGCATATCAGAATGATTTCTGAAGGATCATGTGGCACTGAATACTGGAGTAATGACTGCTGAACATTCAGCTTTGCATCACAGGAGTAAATTACATTTTAAAATATATTTAAATAGAAAACAGTTATTTTACATTGTAACAATATTTCTGAATATTACTGTTGTTTTGATCAAATAAATGCAGTCTTGGTGAGCAAAAAAAAAAATCTTACCATCTCCAAACATTTGAATGACAGTGTACTTTATTTGAATTAACACTTGTGTTTAATGTTTTATGTCAGTCTAGTTTTTCTTTACTGTTATTGTCCTGCTGTCTGAGCCTTGTCAAAAGCATTCAGTGCCCAGTGAACTGGGTGTAAACTGTGCAAATGACAAATAAAAGCAAACTTGATTTAACTCAGCCTCAAAACAAACCTCAGCCTTAATTTAATCCTCAACCACAAACCCCATTTAGGTTCTGGGTTCATTTCAAGTTACGTGTTTACAGTAATACACTGTCAGTGCAAGTTTAAGGAGCAAGGATTGTTCTGGAATAAAGTTTAAAGCTACTCATTTACCCTCATTAATATCAGTTTATATCAGTTTCATGATACTCTGTTGCTTATGTGTCTATTTTAAGATTGATTCTCCATGTTCTTATAATTGCATGGATTCATAACTACTTTTGTGTTCCACAGAAGAAGAAAAAAGTCATACAGCTTAAGGGTGAGTAACTGACTAAACTTTAACATTGTGCAGCACTGCCCTCTTGTGATTATTTGAGTTGATGAAGGAAATGACAGGCTCTCTGATGGCATTGCTTGATAATGATCCAGTGTGTTGTATATTTTTGTGTTTGAGTTTAGCGATATTCCTATCATTTACTAGTCATGTGATATTTGATTATCACTAGTACTACTGAATCACTTCAGATTAAAACAAAAATCATATTTTAGCTCATGAAACTTTGTTGAAGTTGTTTTTGTGTGAGTGTCACAAGAGCCTAAACGGTGAACTTTCCTCAGGACCCCTAAGGTCCAAAATCCCCCCAGACTTTGAAAATCCTTCTCTCTCCTCAGGTGGTTTATCCCTGTTGTGTGTGACTGTGTGTATTTGTGTGTCC